ACGTCTGGTACTTAATAAAATTGAAAGAAACAATCCTTTTAGAGAAATGTCTTATATGAATTTAAAATCTCTAATAATGCATTGTGCCTTTTTGTTGTCGAAAATACCTTCAGCATTCGTCGAAGAAATATATTCCTATGTTAAACAATTTAGAAACGGATTGAAATTTTATTAAACAGTATCATTTCGATATCTTTGAAAGCGTATATTCTACGCTTGTATCGCGATTTATTCTTATCATTCTTATTAAGTGTATAGCTTTCTCACGAAGTGTAGTAAAATAAGGAGCAAATCTATATTTTTGGTTTTTCTTATATATGATACCCAAATTTACACACAACCTTAGTTTAAAACTTCTAGAAAACACTTTCGAATTATAAAACGCAAGAATTCGTTGATACAATACATAAGAAGGTGTATTGTTGTTATCTAATGCAATAGCCATGACAAGAAGCAATGCAAGTGGGGTTTTATATTCGGACACTATTACGGGGATAATTAAAGCTAACACTGGTGAATAAAAGATATTAGTAAGATTCCACATCTTTAATAATATAGAAATAAAACCAGTTGTGTTCTTATTGAGAAAATTCAACAGACTTATAATTATACTCGGATAAGAGACCATTATTTTTCTTTCAGTAATTGTTAGTGGGTCAGAAATATTTTCTGTAAATATATTATATTTTTTTCTCATTATTGTTTTTAAATCACTCATTATCTGGATGTGAGCTTCTCTTAATTGCACAACTTTCATAAAACATATAACAAAGATATCAACATAAAACGGCATATTATTGGTAAAAACAAATTCTTCTTGTTTAACGCCAGAATTGTACTTATAAATAAATTTTGTTAGACGTTCAGGATGTTTTAAAATAGATGCCGTCCACTCTGCATGAATTTTCATCATGTCTTCAATAAGCGTTCTTGGTTTAAATAACAGTAAAGGAGCATCTTCACTCTCGGAGAATTTCTTTAAAAACTGTACCTCAAGCAAAATAGGCAGTTTTGAAGGAAGATTTACCAACAGTTTTACCATTGTGTATAAAGGACATTTCCTGTTTTCATTGCGTTCGTAATATGATTCATGCGAATCCATTTTTAGTAGATTAGACTGTATATGATATACATCTGTATTTAATATAAATCTCGTAAATAGTTATTAGCTTTTATATTTTGCGGTGCTGGTCAACATCCTAAGATGATTCGATCCCTTGTCTTTTCATTCGCTGAATGCCTTTTCTTTAGTGCCAAATAAATGCAAATTTCTATGAATCCAATTTCTGCATCACAAAATATATAAAATGTGACTTTTACAATGATTGTTAACAATTATTTCTTATTTATAATTTAATTTATAATCTTACCCAGTAAGAAATAATAATGAAATCGACCGAATTTTGATGTCGATTCGACATCGATTCCATTGTCATTTTTCACTGGGTATGTATGTGAGATCGCTTTAGCTAATTTTAGTGTTAAAAACATAATTTATAAGAAAAACAGCATTTTTTAGATTTAACTTTTAAGTGAAATACGCGTAAAACAATGTTTTAAATACATACCTGAGATTAATGCATCATAGAAGTTTGGAGAGTATCGTTTATTTTAACATTATCATTACTCATAATGAGTGGTAATTAGAAAAATGTTTCTTCCTCTGAGAAGAACGAAAGTATAATGAAAGGTCATAAATGTATTTAGACAGACCTAGCACATAATATATTTTTCTACAGTAAACATTTGGTGATATGTGTGAATTGAAATAATAAATAGAGAAATAATTCATGATATTATCATCTTTGTTTTGCTGTGAATTTCTCTCTTTTAATTATATTGAAGGTTTTCTCGATGGTCAAATGTCAAAAACTGAGAAATAAAGCCAAGAAAGAGCATAAACGAAGTAAACATATATATACATACTAACTATACATTTAGCTATAGTGCTTGTTGGATTTAACGAAATTATAAGAATTAGAAAAATATTTTCTCATGATAACAATATTAACCAAAAATAACTCAATTTTATTTGCTTTTTTCCTATCTTTATTCCTATGAATATGCATGCGCGTGAAAACATAATACATATACTCTTTACAACTTATTATAAATATATATTTACAATAAGTTTATATATTATCTAATAAACTTTATCGTTAGTGTACTTCAAATAATTAATAAATATTTTTATTTAAATAAGATCAGAGAGTATAAATTCCAGTAACCTAGGGCGAATAAGAGTGTGGCGTGATAAAATAATAAAAAATCAGAACTGTGTGTTAATAACGTATAATCAATATATGTATTAATAAAGTTTAAGAAATGTGCTGTTCTAAATCTAAATATATTATCTAAACATATTATTTTTAATGTTTTCTAATTATTATATTATTTTTATTATACGAAAAGGTAACTTTACAAGAAAAAGAAGACTGCATGAATATGTATGGGCATATTTCGTATATAATTATAATACGTTTATAAATATTTATACAAGTTTACGTATGTTTATACATATATATATTCATGAAAAAATTTTTACCAGGAAATATAAGCACTTTGTTCTTTATAATTTTGTACTTTATGCAAATTATGTATTGATTATTATATATATGCATATATATTTCACAAGGTGTATAATATAATACTATAATGACGATACACATTCCTGGTTAAAAAGAATCCCATAAATATACTATTCTACAAAAAGATCATTTGTTCGACTCTGTAAAAATAGGCAAACTTTAAGGTAGAAGAACTTCGTCAAAAATCATTGTATTGAGATATTTAAAAAAGCATTTTACAGCTTGTGACATAATTTACAAAACTTTGAGTTGCATTGCGCGAGCGGAAGACATCGACCAATTAAAACATTTTTTTATTTTTCGCCCTCCCCCTCTTTATCCAACACCGAAAAAAATCACATCACAAAGTTACATAACAGAATCATGTAATTAAAACAAGTAAATTATATAATGTATTGTTCCAAATCATTACCTTATGTTTTAAAATCACGTAATTAAAAAATCATATGATATTAGAAATAATATCATCTGATATGTAATTTTATAGTTATCGAATTTTAAAGAATTAAATAATAGGAATAAACAAAACATCATTGTGTGACTTTTTCAAATTACGTGATTTTAAAAAAAATTATGTACTGATTTGGAACAATCCGTTATGTAATTTACCTCTTTTAATTACATGGTTTCATTATATGTTTTTGTGACGTGTTTTTTTCAGTAGAGTAATGTATACATAAAATATATACAGTACATACGGAATAAAATTAAATTAGGAAAATAAATTAAAACAGCATTGTATTAAATTATAAATTTATTACATTAAAAATAATGCTGACATATCACGTTAAATTGTCAAAGACTTTTCAAACAAAATTGTATATATCTAAATCAAAATTTTGAATAAATACAAATAAGATGATTTCATATTTGGCCATAATAATATCGAGAGATTCGCGACACAATGCGCATAACATCGTGGAATTAAGTATTGCAAAAGATATCAAATAATTCTTAGTTTTAATTATTCATTGAGAAACACTCGACTGTACTTTGGGAATTACTTTTTACAGTGTACAGTATTATCTTATTCTCCATTTTTGCTTACAAAAACTAGTTGAGTATATCAAATTTGTAACGATATCATTACTTTTTGATCGGAGCAATGCCAAACTGATCAAAAAATACATGTTTCATGCACGTAAAATTAAATATCGAAAAGAATAAATTCTTCTATTTAACTTAATTTCTGCTTTAATAGAAATACTACAACCTAAAGATGATTACGTCATTTGGTCCATTTACGATACAATGCAGTAATAGTTCTTGTCCTCTTATATTACAATTATAATTAAGACACAAACTTTATATAAACTTGTGGATTAAAATACACATAAAAAATATACATAAAGAATTAATTCCATTAATTTAATTTCTGAAGTATAAATCTGCCAAGATTTATATTTTATATTATTTATATTATTTTAAGATCTGCATTCAGAGGACAAAAACAATTACTTTAATAAAATATGAGACTTTGTATATAACGTACAATTCTTGGAACATAGCTTAATGTTTGCTGTAATAAATTATACATACATAACATAAAATTGTCATGTTAGTACACACATTCAACACAAGTTATATTCGATTTCAAATATCGAAGCACAGCCATTAAAAAAATAATCATTTTCTGATTTTTCTGTCTAAAAATTATTGTCCGAGACTCATCAGATTATTTGCGAATATTTTGATAATTCTTTTTTCGGAAAATATTTTCACGCCGAATTAAAAACCGCGTACGTACTGTTAATCCGCACGTACAGATAAAAAAATTATTTCAAAAGATATTTCACATTTGATACAAATATATACGATATAACGTAAAATAATAAAGAAACTTAACATCTATAACAGCAATGATAATGTAAAATGATAATGATTAAATGGGATCACATCTTTGGTACAATTTGTTATTAGTATCAATATTTCAACGAACACCACCTTTATCGTGCTAATAGCTATGGCAAGATGGGGCCAAATATATTCTGATTATATTAATTAATTTTTTATCATCGACGATAATATCGTAAGCCTCTGAAACAGAACGAGATTTATGTTCTCCTTGTTTAACATTATATTTAATAAATCTCGCGTTAATCTCTAATTTGTTATTCATAAAAGCCTATTGTACAGCTACATCTTCGTAACAGTCTTCAGTTTTAATATATACGTATTAAATCTTTCTAGTCTTTTTCTTAATAATGAAATTTTCCAATTTTTATCGTTCCAAGTAACATAACGTTCATCGTTCCATAACAATCAAATTCGTCATTTGTTACTGCTTAGTCTGTTGTAAATCTCTTGTTAAAATTTCTATCCATAAAAAGCTTGATCATTCCAATTTCGTCAATATAAATAAAAATACCACAATAACAGTTAAATTGTTACTGATAAAATTAAAAAGCCGGACATACTATTTTTAAGATTAGAAATATTTCATGATTCGCGATATTTATCGAAAGATCTTGGAATATTTGCAACGAATTAATGTACATCGATACGTTTTGATATATATTAACATATACTCGAAATTCCATGAGTCAAACTCTTTTCGAGGACAATGTGAAACTCGCTCAGTGGCTCAAGAATATGAATAAGAAAAGTCAGTAATGTAGGATTTCTTAAAAACGAATTCTCTTCATACATATCCATCGTAGAACGCGCATCGCTCATCGGTCGCAACATTGGATGAAGAAGCTGTTCTCTGAAAATTAACAGATAAATCTAGATAACAACAAAAAAATTGAGAGTGAATAATCGCGTTAAAAATTTTTTATAAATTTACCTCGCCGCTAAACAAATAAATAACTGAAATTTTCCATCTTTCCCCAAAGTTTGACTGAACATATTGATCTGATCGATGAGATGACAATAACATCTCAAGATCGTAAATCTTTGACTGCTTTCTCTGTACATTCTTCTATCGCGGTTGAGCCTTTGAGAATATTCATCCATTTCCTCCAACAGGGAAATCTCAAAATTTTCTTTTATGCGTACTGCAACAGTTTCAATTATATATTTTTCGAATATTAGTTTTCTAACATCATTGAATATGATTAAATTTTTACTCACAAAGGTAGTCCCATACATAAAAATTTCTCCCAAATATTCTCTGATTTTTAAAGCCAAATAAAAATATTTGTTCCAAGGATGGTACGAGACCGCCTTCTCCACACAATAATGCCGTCAAGGAACCATCTTGACATTCTCTTTTGTAGTGATATTTGACTATAGCGTTTACAGCTTCACCTGTAATATTATATTTTATATCATTTTACTTAATTTCTAATAATCCAAATTTAAATTAATTATATTAAGAATTTTGTATTACTTTTTTATTTTGTTATGCTATATATTATTTTCAGCTTTTACTTAAGAAATATTGTCTAAAAACAAAGTGGTATGATGATATAATGTTATAATTTGCCAAAATATTAAAATAATTTTAATTAATATTAAAATTTTTTTCTATAACAAAATGTACAAATAAATATAATATATAAAAAATAATAGTAATTATAATATTAATTTACCAAGCATATGTTGTAATTCAACTTGCGAGAATATAGGACGCCTAGGTATACTTGGAGATCTACATCTTGGAGGCGTGGAACATGACTCTACCAATTCTTCGCTATCAATGCTTCGAGGTACTAAAGCACCCACCAATAAACGCTCGGTAGACCCGTCATCTATTCCTCTGCCAAGCCAACGACCACAGGGAAACTTAAATGTGTGTCCAGTTACTTCGTTTCTCACTACAACGTGTTCCACCATCCATTTTGGCGACAATCCGGTATTGTCATGTCCAATCCGTAATGTAGACAATACTCCTAAATTTTTATGCTAAAAAAATATATATAAAGAGATAATTACATAATTAAAATGTACTTAATAAAATCTATTACACAGTACTAAGTTTAGAAAAAATTTTATTTATAAATATTAAAAATAAGCATTTACTATTATATAATTTTTACATATAATAGAAGTAAATTTCAAGCAGATACGTTAAAAATATTTGGTATTATTTATGATAATAAAGTTATAAGTAACTTAAATTCAATGTTTACATGCATTAAATTTCATGCAAATTCACACAGAATTCAATGGAAAATGCACTAAATGTTATAAAATTTTATAAAAAGCACACTAAATTACATGTACATAAATATACTTTTCAATTACAGACCTATTAAATTTTATTTATTAGTTTTTTTGGAAAAATACATTAAATTTCACTACATATATTTTTAATAATAAAACTAAAATACTTACATGGAATACAAATTCAAGTGCTCCTTTTGGTATGGGTACGGGATTAGTTTCGCAGAGTGTGCCAGAAATAGCAATCCAACTATTAGCCGAAGTAGTAGCGGCGCTTGCTTTTCGACTGGGAAATATCACAACTCGATATGGTAACTTCGTTGTTGGATAATTATTCGTGAAGCAAAAGTAGTCGACAGCGTTCAATGTTAAAAGATGGTATAAGAATTGCTCTTTCTCTTCTTCACAGCGTAAAAACGCTGATCGTTTGTATTGGCTCCTAATAAATCATAAATAGCATTCGGTTGAATGTACTAATGCATATTAAAGCTACCATATTGTACATTGATTATGTAAAAGTAAAATGCAAATATTTCGAATTATAAAATACAGATTTTACTTAACAGCACAATAAAATGTATTAAAGATTTTATGGTTTAATTTTTTTTCATATTTATATTAAACATATTATATGTTTACGACAATTTGTATACAACGGCTTTAATGTGCACCAGTACACACTGAATACATCTAACTAAATTCGTTAAAAAATAACGAATTGTATTAAAATGTCCAAAAATATTGTTATTTAATATATTATAAATAACTTCCATTTAATAACAATATTAAATACCGCTCCCAATATCATTATCAATATTAATTAACTGTTATGTCAATACTATCACAATACATATGTGATAATGATCGTGATAATTTAATAATTTCCAAAATGCACCTCAATAAAGCAATATCCGACAATAACATCTTCAAATGACGCGACAGCAATTTCTTTTCAAGCGCTAGCCGCACCCACGCTCTTGCATATCCAATATGTGTTTTAATATCAGTCATCGCTTGAACATTGCGGATGTCGAAGATTAGAGAATCCGGGAGAGGTCTTAAATGTTCAGGACCAATGGTTTTCCTCTCACTAGGAGATTTGTGTTTATCCGTGGCTCTTGTGGGTGAAACGTCCGTCTCCAATTGCAAATTTGATAAATCTGTCATAATGTAAAATATTTTAGAAATAGGCATTTCTCAAATTATAAACCAAGGGATGCAAACAAAATACACACAAAAACAATATTCTTTTTGACTAAACATTCATCTAATTATATTTAATATATATTTGTGCATACATTAATAAACACATGCAAATTCAGTAACATGCTTTGTATAAATATTCGCAAAGACGTATACACATTACACCACACGCGCGCGCGCGCAACACACACACATACAATATCATCTTACATAAAATTGAATTAAAATGGATTGGAATTTTAATCCATTTGAATCATATCCAAATGCGTACTTTAAAAGCATTCATGGTCCATTTTCACTTTTTTTTAGATTCAATTGGATTAAAAAACTGCATTTTCTATTTAAAATTTTGAATTGAATAATATTCACGATGCATTTAAAAAAACAGCTTTTTTTAATTGAAAAACATAGAAATATACTCATGTTTGTGCAATTCTTATAAATAAATAAAATTCCATTAGGATTGCAAAAGATTCATTTCAACGTTCGCGAATGCATACTTCTGCATCCATTTCAATCCATTCTCGTTTACTGGGACAGCAATCTGGCATGCATTCTATTCAATAAAAGACATTACTGATAAATTTCTTGAAAAATTATAATATTAAAATAATATGTAATAACAAAAAAATGTGTAACTATGATAAATAATTTGTTATTCAGATATATGTTGAGCGGGCATTTAAAAGTTTTAAAAAAAGCCGCTATATTTAATGGAATTAGTTCATAAAAAAACTATTTCTTTGTGGCAAGCCGATATCAAGGCTTACCATTAAAATTGTCCTTGATGTAAGAAGCAATTTCAATAATACTTTTGCCTCTCAAAGATGAAACCAAACGATCCGGTATTCCGAAAAACTTATTCGGAGATTTCTTAGCTAGTTATAACAACAAAAATAAAAGAAAGAAAATAAAATTAAACATAATAATAATTAACAAAATAATAAAATTGCTTACATATTGTTTCTTAATCAGCAGACAATGTTCTTAGAAATATTTTTAATATTTATTTAATATTTATTTATTTATTAAATAATATTTATTTAATATTAAAAATATATTTTTTAAACATTATCTGCTGATTGGGTTAATTTAGACTTCGCGCGCTCTAATGTCGATTCTACTTTTCGTTACTGAATATTCAAAGATATTAAAATAAATACGTGCGACGAAGCGTAAACACGTATCTAATATTAACTATTGTTTGGTGGATCACTTACAAAACTAACAGTGCAGAGTATCTACGTACGAAGAGAACACTAATCTCTACTTTATAATACTTTATCTTATTGCAAAACAGAGACACGTACAATCGAGTCGCTTCCGCAGCACGGACCACGCTAGCGCTGCATTTCCACAAAATAGTAATGATTTTTTAATGTAACTTACAATTAAATAATTATTTTCCCTCTTGTATATATTATATTATACGTATTATATCTTATTATATATTATAAGCGTATAATTATCAGATAAAAGTATATAGTATAAATACAATATATATTTGAATATATTAAATCGCAATATATAATATATACACATATATTGGTATTAAATCACATGCATATCTTACCAGGAGAAAGAAAGTTGGAATCTATAGATTTAGTTGCATCGTTACATTCTTCCGATTCCTGATACATATTCAAGTGCGACCAAAGAGCACTTTTGCCCTGCTTATTTTGCAATCCATGGCTCCATACTCGTTCCAACAGATCACAGAGACTAGCAACCAAAGTATTCTCTTCAACATCTGACAGAGACTCGCCCCCGTGACCAAGCGCAACAGCTTCCGATCCCATTTTTTCCACTAACATTCTCTTCGTCTTGGATTTACAATCCTTATTACAAAAATAATTTTGCAATTGTAATTGTTAAAAATAATTATTACAATACATTTTAAATCTACATTAAATTATTATTAAATTTATATGAAATAAATGTAACTATATGTAACTATAAAAGATTAACGTTCTCCTCAAATAAAACTTTTTCATCATTTTACACAACAAATATACAGTTTAAGTATAAAAAATAATTTTAAGAAATAGATAAAAAATAAATTATATTTAACCTTCGTCGGCAATATGAGATTCTTAGAGACACATTAATATGATACTTTAATTGTAAAAATATAAATTCACAAGAAATATGTATTTAAATACTAAGATCCATTTCAACCAAATATAAGATTTTTCTTAGTCAAAATTTGGTTAATATTTATAAATTACAAAAAATAATTCTGGATAATAAATGTACATAAAATTTCAATTATGTTAAATAATATTCATAAAATAAGTACCTTGAGCAACTTTTCTACAAACGTCCAATTAGCTTGCGCTATTAAAGCAGGGCTCATGTCTGCCGAGAGTTTAGTTTGAGGTCGAGGTGACTGAGATTCTTGGGGTATAGCAGGCTTTCCGTTCGTATCCATAGATTTCATTTTGTATTTCCATTGTGTCTGTCCTCTCCTACTACTGTACAAGCGAAAGCAACTAATTATGTATTTACGTTTTATTGGTAATTTACGATAAATTTATTATTACATTTTTGAAGGGCTTAGAACAAAATGATTCAAATATATACACTCTATTGTCAGCCTCTTATTTTTTATTCTGTTTATATTAAATATTGTTTCTTACCGAAGAATACTATACAGGAAGCATAAAATAGAAATAGCAGACATTAATAAATTTGAAAATGGAAGATTATAATATATTGTTTAAATAAAAATATAACACTTACCTTTGAGCAGGTTCTTTATTCAACGCGACATTATCCAGTAAAGGAAAACTCCGAAAATATGCGGCTCTATGAGGAAGAATCTCCGTAGGCGGATTTGTTTCAAAATCTATGTTAATTAATCTTTGTTCGAGTATTTGTTGCGAATCTACGATGCTCGTGCAAGACTCGTATCGCATTGATCGTATAATACTTTCTCCGACTTTTTTCCTAAAATATAGAGAATAAATCAAATTAAAAAAAATATCGTATATTTTTAACTTTATTCTAATCTAGTAAATAAAAGTCGTTTAAAAAAAAAATAGAAAAAGCATTATATCATTATTATAACTTACTTTAAAGCGGAAATTCTTTGGTCAAAAACTTTAATGTTACAGTCGAGTTCACTCCACGTCGACATGACTTTGCTGTCAACAAGAGAAGCAAACATCTGTGTTTCCAGGAATCTCGACAAAAACGGCAGATGCTGTGCTGGCTGATCAGATAAAAATGTAGCCTTGTCAAAAACATGCATACTATCCCTGTTGTTTATCCATTCATCCTTGTCCTTCAATGTAAAATTTATTATAACTTTATTATAATTACAACAGGAAGGTTTCAATTTGATTTGAGAAGTGTTGTATGTCCGTACCTGACTTGGTTGAATAACAAAATGTTCATAACTAGAAAACATTTGTACAAAACGGTTCAAAAAAATTTCCCTAATAGCATTATTAAAGATAAGAGTCTCTTGATATTCTTCTTGCGGAGTGAGTATTTTTTCCGTAGTATCCTCTATAGGATCAATATCATCCACTGTAAGCAGAGAAAAATTAAAAATTTGACAATAATTCTGATAATTTCGCTTTATATATTAAGAAATTTCTTGATAATTATCTTACCTGATCTTTTAACAATATCCACTGTTCTTTGCAAATTATCTGACTGTGGTCCTGGTTCCGGTCGATCCCAATCTAGCACATCATGTAAAGAATGTTTTCTGCGAGGAAGATGAAAACCAGAACCGGGAAGTGTCAGGCTACTGGTCATGATGTCACCATTGTAATAGTTAATAACCATATTATCAGTCCTATGAAGATTTTGTTCGATATAAATACAAAGTAACAATCGAATTTCTATCTTGATCTAAAAACAAGCAACTCACTTTCCTGAATGTGGTATTTTGTACTTGTTTAGAAGCGTTCTAATCTCATTAATAAATTGCATTTTATGAGGAAACACGGGTAATTCTTCCGGAAATTGGCTACTTTGCTTATCTATATCTACATAACAAAGGTTTGCCTGTAATCAAACACAATTGATATTATTCATAATTAGTAATACATAATTACCTGAATTTTTCATAAAATATTTTTCTCCAATTTAATAAAAGAATGAAATATAGAAAAAAGATCTAAGCAAACATACTTCGCTAGCGATTTTCAATACACCACCCTCATTGTGCGCATGTAGACCCATTATGAAGGGCACAGGTGCATCTAAGAAGTGATGCAGACTGGCGGGTAATATCGGTACATAGACGTGTTGCCACGAGAAAGGAAACAAGAGCGCCGTTATGCACTCAGACACCACCATCAGCTTGTGAAAATCAGCGCTTCTCAACAGAACTTGATTCTCCAACAGTACACATGTGAACAATTGGATTAGGCAATCTGCGCCCAACCACGTGAACACATCTTTGAGGGGATAGTCCAACATCGGTAACTCTAGCGATGGAGACGGTTGATGGATGACCAATTCTAATGGCGATTTTGCTGGTTCATCATTAGGTACAAAAAACTTCAACGATTTACCAGGTAACGGTACTGGTACGTTATATAGAAGGTTATACACATAAGATTCTAAGCTAAGACCAGGTCCAGGATGTCTAGGAACACATCTAAAAAAAATCATTCAATTATTTCATAGTTTTTAATGTTATTATAATATATACGTGTTGTGCATAAATTCTGCCAAATCGAATATCTATCACTTCTAAAAAAATCTCTAGCTTTTTAAACAATATTTAAATAGTATACGAAAGATCTATAGTATCTAATAGTAGACAAATAATCAATTTCTTCATCTCTACATAACTTTATCCATAAGATATCTTATAAATAAAGTTGTCGATAACTTATTTAGAGATGAAGAAATTAGCTACGAGATATCTTTGCTATCATTGATTAAATATCTTGAAGAAATTGTAAAAATATTTCAAATAATCAGTGAAATAAAAACAGCAATATTATATGTCGCGAGAGTTTTAATTTAACTATAATAGATACAGCAAAAAATATTTCATAGCACTTAAAGATTGTGTGTTTATACTGCATCAGTAATTTGCAGAATTTTGTGCTGGAGATACGAGCTTAAACACAATATTTGAGAAGTACATAGAGAACTAACAAAAATTATCACTGATGAAATATAAACAAACTAAAAAAATCCTAATTAACAAATCTTTCTTTAAAAAATTAAATTCCTATTCTTTGATGTTCATTAATAGACAGAATTTATGCAGCGCTCTGACATTATATTATCACTTGTACTTTTAAGTACTCTTATGAAGCGTAATATAAACGTAGTTATATAAGAAGAATAGAGCTGTGTCAGCTTGCTTCAATAGAGCTTTATAAGACTCGTGAGATATCTTACTTATAGAGATTAGTGAGGAACGTCTTTGTCGCATGGAGGTAAGGTTGTTGGCATAGCAAGGATATTGATTTAGTCACTAGCAACTTGTCTTTGGTAGAATCATAATATCCTAACGCAGCACTAGGCGAATGAGCCGACAATTTAAAATGACGAGGCAGCGATCTTGTGTTATGTCCATCCTGACCTTTTCTCGCACTGAAAAATCGTGAAATATAATTTATAAATTTTAAAATAGGCAAAACAATGGACAAAAATTTAAATAATATATGCAAGATAAGAGCACTTGGCATGCATTTTCACGTTTTCCAGTCATTTGTATTCGAAATCAGGATCTTTAGTTTATCAAATTTATCTTAGTTTTTAATGAATTCACAAGTAAACTTTATTTCAACAAGAAAAACGAATTTCCAAATTATCAAGGAATTTGACTGACAATGAAAAGAATCATCGATTTTTGTACATTTTCATAAAGACAGACACACGTGGATAAATAGTGGAAATTAAAAACGCAATTATACAGAAAGCAAACATACGTGGGGGGCGTGCCGTTTTGACCACTGCTGAGCTCTGTGATGTGCATCGCTTGTAACGTTTGCATAGCGGAACATATTTTGCGATTGCGGCACTCCTCGTAGAAAACGAGGCTGAATCCGTATGTTCTGTGACCATCTTCTTTCGTGAGGACAAAGGAGTGGAAGGTCGGTTCCACCGAATGCTTTTGTGTACGAAATCGCAAACCGCTTGGCAGACAAAGCTATTATCAATGTAATCAATAAGTTACTCCCATCGGCTGCGTGAAATGCAAATGTTCCCTAAATCTAATTAGAACTAAAAATACTTCAAAGCAGACAATTCCCTACATGACGTACAAAAAATTTTTATATTATTACATTTTACATTATTAAAACAATCAATTAATTACATTATAAATTTAATTAATTAACTTTTGTAAATCATACAACAACTACCCATATAAAATTTTGTTAATGGATATTAATAAATAAAGTCCACTATTGGATTCTTTTCGTTTATAAATAAATTATATAATACAAATAAATTTATATTCATTATTTGACTTATAACACGTAACGTTAATTGTAATTAGCAATTAGTTATCACACGTACCATACAGACAGCGTGTTCGTCGAAGGGATTCCATGGTACTGAGTCTGGATAATGTCCTAACACTTTGCTTTTATATGCTCGATCCAGGGGTGTACACTGCAATGAGTCACCTGCAAAAACAACAAATAGCTTAATACCCTTCATAAACATCAAGTTCATAATCAAGTACCGTTCTCAGTGGCTTATGGAAAAAATAGTTTCTTGCAGTCACGAACGATATTTTTCCGCTAGATTCTACTTAAGAAACAATTACAGAAACTTTACTGTACGTTTCTTTCGTCACGAATGTCAAGGCAGAACATCTAATAGATGATTTCTTTTCGCGAACACGCAGCAGTCGAAATATTTACGTTTAGAAGAAAAGAAAAATTCAGTGCGTTTCAAAACCTTTGACGAACAACGAAGTTCCGGCTCTCACGGAGAAGAGAGGGATAGAGAGAAACGCTTATCTTATAGCGGAATCAGCAAAGCTGTTATCGAACATGCCACACGGTCCTATAACAGACCCGACTTGAATGAGAGATGGTCCAGAAGGCCTTGGCGTTGCTCCAACTGCTCCGAACTCGTCAGAATACAAGAGTACTCCTGTACGAAGTTAATCGTTCGTGATCAAAGAGCCACCCAAGATGATAAATCTACATTTCTGAGATGCAGAAAAGAAAACTGTGAGTAAACATCAACGAGTTGCAAAACGTCTTTCGCAACAAGAGAATTAATCACGATCAATGAATCAATCAATAGATCAATCAAGACTTTGTTCTTCTCGGCGTTAAAAAAAGAAAAATGAGAGTGTGCGTCCTTGGGAATGCATGAAGTTTAAATTTTATTTTACAAAATTCATGATATATATTCAAAAACATATTCAAATCGTAAAAATATAAATTAAATAATATAACACATAATTATTATACAATTTACGTAAATGTATAATATTATATTTGTCTGTATAATTTGCAATATAATATTAAACTTGCTTCATATCTTAATTTAATCATATAAAACGCATTAATTTGTACTACGATGCTGTTAATTGTATTACATTTTGGAAAAGATAGTTTTGCAATTACGGTAAGATATCGCTCCAAATACACGAAGCTACTAACATTTTATCTCAACCGTCGAGATAGATAATCAGAACTAGGAAATGAGATTCGATGCAAGTATTACTTCCAGCGTATTACGAAAGTCTTCCGTAAAGCTTCATAAGCCGTTTGCCAACGTCGAACTTTCCTTAGATTAGTGGAATAGTACGCACATCCCAAGTTCGTGCTCCGAATTAATCCACATGCATTCGAAAATCCGTTCTACGCAATAATTTTCGCTGTAGCATAATGCAGTAATTGTATCCTATTTTATACGCTAGTTCTGTCACAACCCATTACAAAACTTTTCTGCTTGAATTGTCGTAATTTATATCTTCAAACTCTTTAAAAAAGCAATAGTTCATATACACAATAATTATTCATACATTAATATCATAATTTAAATATGAATAGAAACAAAATATGCTTTTAACGCACGTTATTATAAAATATTATGTAATATGATACTTTCTGATGAAGGAGTATTACTAAATATTATATTAAAATAACATTCTTTCTAAATATTTTACAAAAAAATTGAAAATACAGCGGTAAATATTTAAAAATAAAAGAGATATTCTCTATACAAGACGCGTACGTCTAAATAAATGTATGTAGAATTGATTTTAATCTGAAGTCTTAATTGACATCATAAACTGATCTGAGTCAATCTCCGTTTGGAAATGATGTACACGAAGTAGCAAGTGATAATCGAGTGGACTGATTGGTCGCCGAGTGAGTCGATCGTCGCCGAAATCACCAATTTCGATTAACAGGCCGATAACTTTTTCCGATATTTCAGTTTCTCATCTACACATACATGGAATTCCCGAATAATAATAAATCGCTGTACATCGGATCGGTCCAATGAGTTTCAGTCTTCTATAACATAAAAAAAATGTTTTTATTTTTAGAAAACTGCGCGTCAGATTTATACAGGGATCTCTGGTAAAATATTGCAGCAAGTTTACATAAAGTAAATAATTTGTACAAAGAGTTCATATAAGTCATATTTATAAATTAATTTTTATTAAAATTTTATTTATAATTATAAATAAAAATAGCAAATGAACAAATTTTCCATCTGTATTTCTATTTTATTATTATACGCTTTTACTATTTATAATATGTAGGTACATATTTTTTACTATTATATATTTATTATTATCATATAAATTATAAACATACAATTTTTAACAATAATATTACAGAGGAAAACATATAATGCTAATATTAATTGTCTTATAATTTATTCTCATTCGATTAAAACAAAAATTTGTAATATAATAAAATTTATCTTAATTTGTTAGATACATATCTAATCATACAAAGAAAGACGACGAAAATTTTATTATATTACAAATTTTTATTTTTTCATCAAAAAAGAATAAATCATAAGAGAATCTATATAATTATACGTTTTTTTCGCAAAGTCCAAATTTTTTATTTAATTTTATTCATTGCCTTAAAAAGAGAATTTTTCTCTCTTCTATACTCAATCAAAATTATTACTACTACTCAGCAACTTATGCAATAACACGAGCATTGTTATAAAAGTTATCTACTATCTATTCATCTAAAATCATAGTGTATCCCTTCGAGTCATGCGGATCTGTCATCGTGTTTAATTGAGCGCAGAAAATTGTTCGTCAATTCCTTTAGTTAAACGCTCGTAGCTCATGAATAATCTTCTCATAAGTCTCGCGATAATATTTAATAATTTCATAATATATGTATTTACACGTATCCTACGAGTATATATATATATATATATACTCGGAGAAAATGTTAATTATTTATAGAACAGCTCACTTTCAACGTCGTATAATTATTGTACAAATACTGTTACGGAATGTAATGAGTATACGGAAATCGCTTGTAACATTGTATACTCTTATTGCATATCTGCCTCGTTCCGGTTATTACGCGAATATATTATGTCCCTAAATCTCCACACATGCGTAGATCTTCGTACTTTCTACTCTCGTACATGCATCGCTGCGGAGAAGTCTTATTACGAGTCTACTTCCTAATTACACCATACCTTACGTGCAACATCAAAGTGCGGTTACTAACGGTACTGGAACGGGTAGTCTAAAAGCAGATGGGTTGCACCGGTTTCTTAATTGTTCTACAAATCTTCCTATTGCGGAAAATAATAAGATTAGAGGTTAATCAAAAGACTGATAAGTATTACTTTTGTCTACAAGAGCATTAAAATCCTTTTTCCAAGAAATTTTGGCTATATAATTATTTCAACTTAAATTTATTTAAATCCATCTCTGTCTCTTTCTCTCTCTTTGCAGTTTATAACTATAAAGTAGAGACTATATTATAATATATAATGCGTATACTTTTACTTTTAAGATTCTAAAAAACATGTTACCGGAGTAATTAAGAAATACGTTCAAAATAGTAGGAAATGAGAGTGAAAGGCAAACACGACAAGTCGGGAATATTGCAATAAAATGCGCAGAGAAGTGTGCAAAAAGTAGAGGAAGGTTACCAACATCAATATAGAGTAAGGTTACAACATCAATATACCATTTCGTTTTTAAACAATATTTCTTAAACAAATATTAAAAATAAAATTTTAGAAACATATAAATACAAACTAGAAAGCATCCTCTATAGTCTATTAGATAATATAGCAATTATTATAATACTTTTTGCAATTTTGCAATAATTAACTTTTTCGTAAGATAAGCAAAAATGAGCTCTGACAAAATGGGCCCCAAAATTGACATAATAAGTAATACTGTCACATATTTCTATTCTTTTCCTTTCTCAGGAATAATTTGTCAAAATACCTATAAATGAATGTGTATAATATTTTCTGGTATATGCATACTTTATATTATTGTGTAAAATACAAACATATGTAACGCAATAGTTAAATAAAATTAATTTATAAAGCTAAAATTTATTATTTATAAGAATTGTATTATTTTAAATAGCCAAGAAAGCTATAAAGATTCATTCATTTCCATTTTTCCGCACCCACAACGCTTCATTTATCATATTTTACATAATATAATATATTAATAAAGCATTTAAATAATAGGAAAATAATATATATCTTGTCAAAGATATATTTTTCAACTTATAATATTTTTAAGAAAAAATATAGCTATAATGAATATAAACATAGTTAATAATTTATATAGTAGAAACTATATGAGTATAGTTAGTATAATTTCCTGTGTGAAATTATATACTTAAATATAATTATGAAATTACAGTTATTCCGTTATACCTTATAACATATAATTTTCATTAAAATCCCTTTCGCAGAGATCATTGATCTCGTTTACGAGCAATCTAAGTATTTGCCTCGAAGATAAACATCACGCGGTCGATTTATATGCATCCGTGACACGAAGTAAATACAAAATACAAGAGCAGAGTGAACTACGAGCGCGACAAGAGAAAGAGAGAATCACGTCCGAAGGAGAAGAAAAGGGGAAGAAAACGAGCAATAAACGAATGTGATATGCCCCTGTTCCATGGAAAGTATTGATTCGAGAGAATGATGCTCGTACGAGGCGTAGAACAAACGAATATTTTCCGTGAATCCTCCTGTGCGTACACTTGACACGCACGCCCACGCCTGCTTGTAAATGCTAGTATTAGCCACATGTATCACGCGATCAGACAGAAAGGAGTGCAGAGTTTTGTAAATGCGTATGAAACATGAAATGACAACGAGAAATATATAGATTATAGACATAATATTACCAAGGATATTATCATCTCGTTCTTGAAAAAAATTCCTTTTTTCACTGTTAAAAATTGCTTTCAGAAGTATTGGAAACTTTTATCCAAGAAAAATTTGCTTAATTAATTTAAACAGCTATATTGAGAAATTATAATAATTTTATAAAATAAAGTATAAAATAAATCTCTAATGCGCATGGCGCGCGCAGATTTAATAAATTCACAAGCCTATTGTAAATTTTGCAAATATTGTAAAATTACAGCAAAACGTTAAATGATTTGTAAATTTACTGCATATTTTTATTGTAAAGGTATTATAAATTTATAAATATTTCTAACAGTGTTTTCTTTATCAACAAAGTTTTTAATTGTAACTAATTATCAATTAATCTTAATTATAAACCAACGTTGAGAATATTTGTATACGTGAAATAAAGAACTGAAGTTTTAGAAAGTAATTATTTCATAGCATTATATCATAGTTGCAATATTCGATAAAATTTAGAAAAATTATGCTTAATTAAGGATTTTTCTGTCAGAAAATAATTAACTTTATGGAAACTAAAAATTTGTTTAAGAATATTAAAAAGTATATAATTTATACAATGCGTGCTGCACTTTTTTCGAGATTTACGTCAGAGAGCATCATTTGTGGAAGAATCTTATCTACAGCCATAAAAAATTATCGTTGACCCTAACGCGTATAAAATCCGTGATAACTAAGTTAAATATGTAATTTTAATACATTAGACATCCAAATTTCAACATTATGGTAAAATACATTTTTTACACAATAACATTATAAATTACAAAATTAAAAAATAACCTAATAGACAATAATTAATTTAAAGCAGTATTTATTAAACCAATTTCCAATCTCTTTTTAGAAATAATTTATATTTTTAAATCCTATGTTCGGCTTCCATGAAATATCTATAAAAAATCAAATTTTTCTTTTATATCAATTAATTAAATAAAAACAAAACTAATTATAGCTTACATTAAATAATAATGAATAGTTATTTTAAAATGCATATAATTTTAGTAATGAGTTATTTTATTAATGAATATTTTACGATTCACTTATACAAAAATAAATATTATATTAAAACATTTTTAGAAACTTAAGAAACTTAGCCTAACAGGCTAAATCTGTTTTATGGCCAAAGTTGCGAGAATTGTATTTTTTGTTTCATTCTCATATGCTCCGCTTATTCCCAAAGTGCTGTATCCGAATAAGTTGCCTCTCCCCTTCTTATGAACACGTATGATGTCATCGTATATAGGGTCATTTGTACATGAAGGGGCTACCGGTACTTAAGTATGCGTTTAAAAGGCGGAAGAGTGGTTATAGGACCAAGTCATACGACGCACATGCACGTAGGCGTACAACAAAGGTTTATGCTCCTTGACAAATAAAAAAAAGTTCATTGAACGTCTAAAACTCAGTCTAAAAATGTTAAATATTTCAGAAATCAAAACTTTTTAGACATAGATTTAATAAATACAACTTTTTAATATAATAAGATTTATCTATAAAACTATAATAAATTTAAAATTTATTATTATTTAAGCATAAGTTTTGTTTCTTACAACTCTTAGTTATTTTTATAATAAAATTTACTTGTGTTATATTATATATTTATGGCGCCCCTAAATTAAACAATTGTTGTGATTAACGAGTCTAAATTTAAAACGTACAAAGAGTATTTCGTAACACCAATAATATTTCACACCCAAAATCTAACAGACTAAAAATAAGTATTTCAGGGATAATGCAACCCTTCTACAGACCATTGCTCTTTAGACGTACGTAAAGAAGGGTGAGGCCCTAAATGAAAAAAATGAAGCATGAAGACAAGGACGGCTAATATTTGCGAAAAAAAAGAAGACTCTTGGGAAGACCATAAAAAGATTACTAGACAAGTCTGTTAAAAATAAAAGGAAGATGAAACTAACCAAAGAATATGCAAAAAACAAGAAATATTATTAATTTGAAGATTAAAATATATAACAATAAATATTAATTAATTAAACTATATTCTTCTAAATTCTTTGAAATGAAATCTCACTTTAAAGAGTGAAAATTGAACCAATCTTAAAAAAAGTACCTCAATTTCCAATCTTTAGGAGTGAGATACACTTTAAATTTTTTACAGAGTAGAAAAAACACTCAAGAGATACGATAAAAAAAATATTCAATTATTTCAATAAATTATTTTTACTACGCATCAGAAATTATATGTATACATTTTCTATAGAAAATGTAGTATTATGTATAATAGATTTCTGCGAGCAAGAAATGTTTTTCAATTTACATGTTAATGGATATAAAATACTTCTAACAGAGTATTTCTCACTCGCTCGCGCGCTCGCTAATTAACCGAGTTATTGGATTCCGTTCAAAGCATAAAATAAAGAACTACTATAAAATTGAATGAAGCGTCGCATTGACAACCATCAGTTATTGATATGCGTAACTTTACGAAGAAATTAGCTTGACAATATTTTAAAAAGGAGAAAAACAAAGAAAACAATATAAATTACTTTGTAATAAATTCGTCAACAATATTAATATTAAATATTTAAAGCAATAATTACTACAAAAATTATAGAGGAAAGGTATAAAGTAGGTCAGTATTTTGCTTTTTGTTTATTTTTTTTACTTATTTTCAAATCAATGATATCGCAAATAATAATTTATTAATCTAAGTTTAATATAAAACACACTTGAAATAATTAATATAGTTTACAAAATGGAAAAATTGTTTAAATGAAAAAAAAACATGATGATGCAACTGTCTAAATGTGATGGTAAAGTAAATCCCCTATAATTTTACAGAATGTAATTTCTTTAAATTCATTTAAAAACTTCCAAAAAATTATGAATATGGACAATGAGATATTATCAGATTCAGAAGTTTCTTTTCATGAACACGTTCTCTTAGCAATATTCTTGGATTAATCTCATCTCGTGAATGTTTAAACATCATTGAACACCTTTTTTTCGCTTCGCAAATACCTCTATAAACTTCTTAAAATCATTTTTAAATGATAATCGTAAAGATTTTTGTCGCAAAACAATGCTTTGCAATGCCCTTGTTATTTAATTACATCTCAGCGAAAATATAATTATTCAAACTTTTTTTATTTAAAATAGAAGAATAACATCTTAAGAATTATTAATTTAGGGTATAAACTCATTACTTAAGAACTTAAACCACATTAAACTTGACAGTGAAAATCATACGAAATATTTTTGATATACCTCGTAATAGATAAACATTCATTGTCAAGAAAAAATCGCACCAATCATGGCTGCAATTGTTTCACAACTTCAATATCTATCTAAGAACAAGTTAAAAATTTCTTAAAAGGAATGGTGTTAACTATATAATAACAGAATTTTAAATGTCCTACATTACCAGAGCAGGCGCTTACGTTATCACTTTTATCTCTAGTATTTTGATAAAAAATTAAGTTATGCTTTTTTATACTTCAAAATTGGACTTCTATTAAAACTTATTACAGACTTCTAAATTTCTATTCTGTCTTATCTGAATGAAAAAAAATCTTTTGTGGACAAACTTATCTTAAAAAATTTTTGGATTTATTAAAGTTATTATTAAACGTGAAATGCAAAATATATTCGTTATTTAGAAAACTTTTACGGAATATCCTGTGCAGTATAAAATATCCTGTGTAGTATAAACTTCTCTCCCCGTCTATCTCTCTCTTTCCTTATATGTAAACTTTGACCTTACTCTTAGGCATGCGTTTTCTTTTTTTTTATGGATATTTTTACGCTGCGTATATTGGTAGCTGCCAATCTCGCTAAGAGTTAATCTTACAAGTCTTCGCAAATCCGATATACAATTATACATATTATAAAATCGATTATACCTATTATAAATATTACATCATATTAAAATTATAGATAAATAAATTTGCTATTCAATTGCCAAAAAAAACACGTAATTCCGTAAAAATCCTATAAATAAATATAGACTACTCTATACTTATTGAAGAAACTATTTCTATTTTATGTGCGATTTGCAAGGCCAAGTCCTCAAGCAATTTTCAAGGCTAAAATCCGTGAATAAGCAAATATTCTCAATGGACTGAAGCTCATAAAACAATGTAGTCTAACAGCTGACAACGGGACAAGCAGCTCGTCACAGAAATACAAGAGCCCTTTTAGTCACAGGAGTTCTCGAGGGAGAGTTCTTTCATTGAAACGATTTTTTTCGTGGAAAGCCGTCCCGGCGTTTTCTCAGGAGGGTCGTCGTTTGCCGCACATTCACGTACCTATTGTGAGGCTCCCTATTGCGAGGTATCGGATACGTGCAGTAGCCTAACGACAATGGGCCAAGCGGTCCATTCCGTATGCTGTGAACTCAGACATTCCCGCGAAGAAAAATCAATTGTCAATGTTCCCATTGTCCGCGTATGAGGAAAATTGTGCGTTTTTCGTTCTCTTCCTTCCTCAAAAGCCTTGTTTTGAATACAGAAGGTTTGAAGAAAGTACTACTGATGTGAGACCCACTTTCATTCTGTTAATTCTGCATTGTGTGTGTGTGTATGCGTAACTCGCAAAAATATATTCGTACAATTCAAACGTAAGTCATACAGGTAGCCTACTCGGGATAAGATGAATTTTAAACTCAATTTGCTCGAGGTACCGCGTTTGACAAATTAATTACACTTCATGTAATACTGTTCAATTATATTATGCGAGTGAAATTTCCATTAAACTTGTGAATAGTAATTGAAATTTTCGTCAGACACGCATCGTGGAAACTTATAATACTCCTATCGTGTTCGGAATTACTGTTGACACTGAAACAATTATCGCTCTAACAAATAGGTCTTTGATGCTTATCAAAAGTGAGTTGATAATTTTGAAACGCACTGTATGCAACAGTCGCACCCTTTATGGATTATACTGTAATTCTCATGCAGGTTTGGAAAATAATATCTATCTGCACAGATTAAATTTAGAATGAAGAATCATTCTTAATTAACATTGCCGTTGAACCTTTGACATTTTATCCTTCGTGACTATTGAGTTTTATTTCGATTGTAGAACATTCTCTCCCTCTCATGCACCCTCATTCTCTCTCGCTTTATTCCATGTCAAGAATAACGAACCGCGAGATAGTGATGAGAGCGGTGTCAGCGCGCAAAAGAGGAAATAAGCGCGAATGAGGCAAAAGACTCTCACCGAAGTACTTGTCTGGTTCAAGACCCGAGTCCTTGTCGAGGCCGCATATGACAAAGTAATCCGCGAACCGCTGTGGATGTTGCTCCGGACCGCGCGTTATCCCCAAACTCCCGTTCATCTTTCCCGACTCACGGATTTGCAGCAGCAGCAGCAGCAGCAGTTGCAACGTGCTGCCGCTCACCGCGGGCCACCTCGACCGTCGCCGCCGCCTTCACGAAATTGATTTCCACATCGTGCACCACACCGACGCGGCACTGTCACTTCACTTCAGCCGAGACAACAGCTGAGCGAGCACGCTGCGTACAACCGCGACGCGCACAGAACAACGCACAGTGCACACTGTGCGCTCTGCGGAGCGGAGCGAAACGGCAAGCAACGGCACAGAGCAGAGTGTGGCAGAATGGAGCGGTGCGGAGCGACTGGCCGCAAATAATTGATCTTTCGCCGCGGCGCTTGAAGTTAGCCGCGCGTCGTGCGCGCCGCGCCGGCGCCGCGCGCGGCCAATTTCAGCGCCGCAAGACGATTTTGGCGCGCGATTTAAACGAGAAATACCGTTTCAATCTTCATCATGGCTGCTTTCCAATTGAAAATAACTCTGACACTTTCGTAACACAAGTTACATTCCAGTTGCTACAATAGTCGACATAACACTACATATTCGTATTCAATCCGAGGGCTATATTAGTCGACTATGTAATTAAGCTTATATTTTCTAATAACAATTACATATAACTAAACGCGGCAGCCATAAATGTGGTTGCTGAGCATTTGACTTTTTCTCATTTAATATAAGCAGAAAAAGCTACATTTAATCTAACTTTATCCAAATAAACGTTTATTTTAATATTAAATTTCGATTTATAGTACAATTTGTTAAACTGCAGAATAAAACAAATATATATATATATATATATAAAATAAATGGATAAGGTTCTTCCATAACAATATATTTGTATATTTGATTTACAATAATGGAGGGTTCAGATTAATAGGAATAATATATTAATGGACATAATCGTACGATTGCATACCAAAATTTCTTTTATTTATTCTGATTAGGTCAAATTCTGTATTCTTTGTAGCAATTCGTTGCATATTTCTTAAATGTGAGAGTGATATAACGATGATCATTTCCATTAATAAAGAGAAGCGTTTGTATTTCTGTGATAAAATGTCTTGAAATAATATACAAAATCAAAGAGAGCGAATTAAGGAACGGTATAACAATTTACATATACAATTAAAGTGCGATTACGGTTCATTCAAATAAAATTATTCAAATCGCTTGATTATAGCCTACTTGATAGCGGCAGACTTTCGTGAGAAGTTTTTTGTAACGATATATTCGTTAATGCAGCATTACTGAATTATCCCTTGTTAAAAAAATTCAACTGTGGATGTTGTACACATATAACGTTTGTTTGATAAATTTTTTGAAATTTTTCCAGAAACTAAATTTGTTCAAATTTAGCCGCGATAATTCTTTTAAATATAATTTCCTTACATTGTCATCATTTGTATTTTTCGTATGAACCTCTTAAAATCTAATAAAAAATTTGATAATTATCTAAATAATTTTAATTAATTAATATGATAATTTACCTTAGAATTTTACATACATCAAGTTCGTTATTTCAAAACTTCATTATATAAACTAATTAGACATTTCTATGGTAAAATCGGTTCGAAAAAGAATTGCTAAAGGAACCACGTATCTTAAAAATTGTTAATGCCGGCTAACTTTATGCGAATCGAGGAGACCTCTATGAATTCATCCGCTGTTGCAAAATTTGCAAAAATTCGATTGACGATGGTGTGTAATTAGTAACTACTAATTACACCATGCGATTGACACTATTGAGACAGAATTAAAATGCTACCACGCCACTTGTCAACGAACACACGCATATGTATGTACGTATCACATATATACCCGCGCACACATGCGCGTGTAGTTGAAAGTGTTCGCTCGCGAACGCTTGTCACGCTCGCCGGAAGGTTAGATTCCGATGATTAAATCGAGCCGGACTTCATAAACACGCGATATAACGGGGCGGTAGCGGCGCCTCAAAGTTTTCATCTTTTTACGTAGGATGGAGGAAATCGACAATATAATCATTCACTCATTGCGACAAATAGGCTGGTAAGTATCCAGATTCAGCGGCTCCGATCGGTTTGCCACTGGTTTTTTTCCGTACGGAGATAAGGTGGACGGTGTATCTGCGATATCCTCGCGAACGGGGATTATTGTGTACGTGAATTCACTCGCACGATCATTTCCTTGTGATATCGTTAACATCAAAACGGACGAAAATTATTGAATGTCAATACTCAAGAAAATATCAATATGACATAAAAAAACCTTATAAAGATAATAATAACATAGATACTTTCTTATATCTTCCTGCCTTGAAAGCACTCCCGAAGATCAAAGTTCTAATGTGGTGATAAAAAAAACAAACTTCTTGACTCTTGCATTTCTTAGTTTTGATTATTACACAAATAACTATTTCTTTGCAGTGACATTGAAGAGAATGTAACAAATCTTAGTAGCTTTAACACCGAACTAGTTGTGGAAGCCACTGTAAGATGCTTAGAAGCAATAAGGCCAGGTCTAGGTTTGTCTACTGTACTACCTGTAAACATGGCAGCTCGCTTTCGACTAGGCGCTACTCTTGCACAAACGTGTATGGTAAATATATTGTCTTTTTCTTAGACCAAAATGTATCCATTTGATTTTGCTTATTTCCATCAACTGATCAAAATTACAGGAACTTGGATACAGAGGTGACATTGGTTACCAGACATTCCTATACAACTCAGAAGCAGATCTGCGAAGAGTATTTATGTTTCTCATTGAAAAACTGCCAAAAGAGAGTGAAAAAACTGTAAACGAATCCATCAGTAAAGTCGCTTTATTAGAGAAATCGATAGCATCTGCGATATTCCAAGGACTCTCCGTACCATGGTTACCACATTATTGTCACAAACAGGGATTCAGGAATAGAGGAAGAGCAAATATCTCTTACATGTCTGTAAATATCGAAGTACCAATAGCAAATATGGAAGATGGTAAGGCAATATTGATATTATTTGGATTACTTTTGCCAAACAATCTTGATACACAGCCGTTATTATTGCAGATTATAAAGACTACTGTATGCGCTATTTACAACCAGTGCCTGAACAAATGCAAGATATTTCGTGCTTTTTACCTTCAATGATATCGTATAATGCGAAAGCGCTTAATACTTCTCCAATGGATATTATGGAACGCATAAATTGGCTCAATAGCCAACAATCTGAAAAACCTGCTTATTCTAATACATATAATATTGTCAAAGAGTTTAGCAAATTCTCGTCAGAGAACAAGACACAAACTTCAACAGTAAGCATACAAGATCCTCTTATATTGTATATGTACTTTATAACTGACTATTAGTTGCTTTCCATTTTCATACAAGTGATACTGAGTTTAAAGTTATATGAGTATTTTATTCTCAGATAATGACGTCAGTACTTGCTTACTTTGTTATTTATACTTAACAAAACAGGTTTATAATTTCACTTTTAATGTGAGTTATGGTCTCAAATTTGTACAGATTATAGATAAAAACTCAGTTGAACCTCACTTGCCAGAATGTAAAGGAACATGCATTAATCTGAGTTATGGCGTTATAAATAAGAATTACCTATATTTTTATATAAATGGAAAGAACTATATTTCTTACTTATTCGATATAATCGTTAAATTTTTAGGAATCTCAGGTAAAACCAGAATCCACAATGCATCCAGTGCTTCCAGATCAAGAAACATTAAGAAATCAGGCGAAACAGGAAGTTGAAACAGAAAAGATGAAAGCAGAATGCGAAAGTCTTAGAATAAATATAGAAGAATTACAAAACGAAATTAAAAAAATGACTACCAGGTTAGCACAAGCAACAATAACTGGTCAGAATGAAGAGAAAGAACTAAAAATCAATGAAGAACAAAAAAAAATCAAAGCGAAAGCATATGAACTTCTTCAAGATGGACCAGAGAATGTAAAGAAATTGGAATCTGCAATTGAGGCTAGTACAAGTAAATTGATTAATTTAGCAAATCAGTGGGAAAAACACAGAGTGCCCTTAATCATGAAGTATAGGCAAGAAAGAGAGAAGCATTCCACAAAAGCAGTAAGTATACAAAATGAAGTAAATTTTGGGATAACAAAGAATCGTTTATATTTAAAAACTAATTACATTTTTATTACAGAATGCGAGCCAAAAGAAGCTGGACGAGATAAAATTGTTGAAAGAGAAGGAAAAAGAACTTCAAGAGGAATGTCGAAATAAGGATCAACAGTATTCACAATTGGTCGCAGAAGTTCAGAAACTTCCTAAGGAAGTGAATAGATCTGCGTATACTCAACGAATTTTAGAAATAATAAATAACGTCAGGAAACAGAGAGATGAAATAGGCAAAGTTCTGGCAGATACTCGTGAAATTCAGAAGGAAATCAATACGCTTACCGGGAGATTAGAGAGATCCTTTACTGTCGTAGACGAACTAATATTCAGAGATGCAAGAACAAACGAAGCTTCGCGGAAAGCTTACAAATTATTAGCGACGTTGCATTCGGACTGTAATGAACTTGTAAGTTTAGTCGAAGAAACAGGTGCAACAATACGAGAAATTAGAGATTTGGAAGAACAGGTAAGATGCAATAATAAAAGAATTAGAGAAGTAGATTTATATAGCGCAGAAAACTAACATTTAATTTAACATTTCTTCAGATCGATTCTGAGTCTGCGAAAAACGTCGGTGCTAATTTGGAAAGGATAACTGCCGATTTAAAACAGATGAAACAAGAATCAGCCGCGTTAACTACACAACTCCAAAATAAAGTCTCGTGATTGTTATGTACAGTGCTGCGTCATTTTGCGAATTATAATGTTCAGGACCAGACGGGAGTTTAGTACAGGTACGAAACTCATTTTTTTACAATAATTATGTAGAGAATAAAAAATATTGAAATAATTTGAACTTCTCTACAAGATTACATAAATTATATAGACTTCTTTTATTATTTTACAGAATATAAACGAATACGATCGAATACATTAAAGACCAAACATTTTTTAGCTACGCAACCAGCAAAATATAACGCGATATTGCCTGTAAGAGTCTCCAAAAATCTACTAAGTTAGCTGCTAAAAAAACGTGCCTTGGCCTGGAGTCGTCAGGCATTAGGCTTCTATTAGCCTCGGGCCAAGTGTATAAAAACATGCTATGTATTAACATCAATGCTCAAAGAGACACTATTTGTTATAAAGCCTAATAATTTTTTAGCATCGAGTTCAAATTTCGTATCTCTTGCAACTTAAAGATCTGACTTGCGACTGTAAATAAAATAATTGCTAAAACGTTACTTTCAAACAAAAACATGTACAAAATATAGAATGTGTATAAGGATAAAATTAACGTTTAATATTTTATACACACTTTCCTTGAAAATTATTTTCATAAGATAAATATATATGAGAGACACACATTTTTAATAACAAAGTTCGAGATAACAGTTCTGATTTTTTAGTTCTGATTCTCTGTATATATATATATATATATATATATATATGTAATTGCAATCAAGTGATCTGCGTTATCGGTCAAAAGTATTTTCACACTTCTCACGGCGTCGTCACGTCGTTCTCCACGCGAGCGTTCGTTAAGAGAATGTCCGTCCGTCAGTAACAAGCGCAAACTTTTAATTTCGGGTGGTACATAAGACTCTACAGTAACTAGCTTTCTTAAATGTTTTGCACTATTGGGCATGGCACGAACACGTTCATCTTCTTTGCGTTCCTTTTCCTGTATCTTCTCTATTTCTAATTCAATTTCTTCCTCCTTGTCGAAGAATGTCAAGAGTTGTTCCCTCTTTTTCAAATCCTCCTTTATCTTCTTTATATTATCAATTCTTCTTTCTCTATCTATTGCTTTTATTTGTGCTTCTAATACTGAAGTTCTTTTACATTCCCAGTCGAGATAAGTCTGAAAATTTAGAATATATTTAGTAATTTTATAATTTACTACATATATTGAGATATTCAGTAATTAATCAAATTTCAAAAAAATTCTTTTTATTAATATTTATTACCTGACATTGTTTGGAAATGTCCTTTTCAGCTCTCTCGTTTATAGCTGCTTTAACAAGATTCTCTATCGCTTCGATAAAGTTTTCTTTAAGATTTTGTTTTTCTTTCAATACAGATAATTGAGCCTCCACAAGTTTGTACTTTTCAACATCATGATCTTGGAGTCCAATGTTATCTTTTGATATTAATTTGAATACTTCTTCATAAACTATTTTGTCTTGCATCGTCTCTAACCACTTCTTTATTAAGTTTAATACATCGTCATACTTCTTATACAATATCAAGCCTCTTAACTGACAAGTTCTCCCTATAGCATCTGCCCTATGCTTTCCCTGAAAGTTTAAGGTCTTGCCAACAAGATCTCTTGGATCAGTTAGATCAAAGTGATCGTCAAAGTATGGATTTCTTAGATACGATACACGTACTTTCACTTCCTCTGTGTCAGAAGTATCTACTGGTATCTCTGGTTTCTTCCATTCATCAGGATTTTCTAGATATCTATGACATGCATACAAGCATAATGTATTAGTGATAGGATGACCTGTGTCTTCCTGTAGCATGACCAAACTTGCCACTTTTGCAGCAGAGGCATAATCTTTCTTATTTATGAAATGATCCATAAGCATGTTGTAGTCGAAATAATCGGGAAAAATACCATAATTTAATCTATCGTTCAGCACGTCAAGCAGATCTTGAATGTGATTGTGCTGCAAGAAGTACCGTATTGTGGCATGGTGTGTGGAATCCAGTATATTTGTTGTTTCCACGGACTGCCTGAGATTATGCAAAATTTTTGTCACCTCATCGACATATTGGTTGTCAGTGATGCTGTTGACGAAGATGTCGACGTCGACGGCACTAACTTTGCCGACGTTCTCGTACTTCTGGTCCAGCTGGACGTACATCGACGCAAGGTCGATCTTCTGTAACAGCGGCGATTCTAGCCTGCGATTCCACGCTTCCTCGCAGCGATATGCCTCCGACAGGAATAGCCTTCTTTGCACTCGCGTCACAGAATCCTTAGAACCACGATGGACCCGACAGAATCTGTGACTAAGTCTAAGCGTTTTCAGCATCTTGATTACTTATTAAATTATCCTTGTGCAATCACGTTTTTTTCGATAATTATGAAGGAGACGGGCGATCTCACCGATTTTAATGAAATTAGGTTCATTCGACGCGTTTTTGCAAAAAATGAACAAATCTGGTAGAAAAAAGTGTCGCTCTGCCTCGCGAACTGAGATATTAAGCGTTAAAGTTGACGTTGACGACTATTCAGGTTAGGAAATCTGTCATATCGATAAACGTAGCGCATAGCGTTACGAGTGTGCCTTCTTCATGCTCTGTGACTTTTTGCGCATGCGTTGAGTCACTATTCCGTATGTTACAATAGGCGCACGAAATTTAAAATCGAATTAAAAAATAAATTTGGTAATTATACAGAATCACTCAAGCAGCTTAAAAATCGATCAAACTAGGCTTATTCGGCAAAATAAACGTTGTGCTGAGTTGTGCTCGAGCTCCAGTTTCAGTCCAGCTCGAAAATGGACGTTGGTGCCGCTAGTGTACGGGGAGTTAGAGAAGCATTAAGAAAAAGGCCTCCATGGCCGCTCTCAGGTTTCTCTCTGCTAGAGGCTTGTTCTTTTTGCCTGCACTGTCTGAACTGGTGCAGACAGTGCAATAAGTTGAAGTGAAATAAACGTATATGTATATCTGTTTCACTTCAACTTATTGCACTCTGTGCACCAGTTCAGTAAAAAGAACAGGCCTTAAAATTAGGGAAACTTTATGTTTACGCTCGGTAAAATTCCTTGTTCATGGACGCGTATCCGGCGTATCGACTGTCGAGCGTTATGGACGAATTGGAAAATGATTCGAGCAATTGCCAATGGAATTTAGAAGTTCGAATACAAATTTGCTTGCAAAGCTCAATTTTAGATGATCCTCGAACTGTGAACATGTCTAATATTTCCAGATATATCTCCGTCAATAAATTCAGTCAATGGATTCTATCAGTGTTATGAGGAGTCCAGTGCAATAATATACTGCAAAATATTATAGAATTTCGTAAATTAAGACAAAAGATGAATAATCGCGTGCGATTTATTGTATATAGAGACCATATGATTTTTGATGATGTCACGGTCAAATTGCACGGTGTACTTAGGTGTACAGAACACAGTGAATGGTTCTCACAATTTCTAGTGGATGATGAGTTTTGTATATGTAGATTTACAAAGCCAGTCTGTCCGTTCAAAAAAGGACTCAATTCCTACCTCGTCTCAGCCTATATTTCGACGATATCAAAGTCATATGTTTATCGCGAGAGTGCTATGAGAGTATTGAAACATTTTCAGACAACATGCAATAAGCCATTTAAAGATGAACATTCGTTAAAAATACTTGTAAAATTGACAGTACCAAGAAGACAATTCCTGGATTACAAATGGCAAGTTTTGTAGTGATTTTACAACATTGATCTAAACTATTATGGTTTTTCACATTTGTCCTTTCTTAGGAGTGAAAAATTAATGCAAATGGTTGCAGAAAGGCAAGAAGTTGATCATGCCATGTCTTGGCTGTCCACACTTGGAGGAGCGTTTTCTGCATTGGGGGAAGAATTTGAGCACTGCGTAAGTTACTGTTGGTTATTCTGCTGAATTATATGATATACTTTTACTAATTTGACATATCTTGTACACAGGCTAAAATGGCAGGCAAAATCTCAGTGAAGCAATTCGAATTGGCAATGCGTCTTGACAATCCTCTTCTTGTTGCCCGTTGTAGATTGTATGCTGCCTTAAGTTTCATTCAACGTGGCAATTTTATCACACCTAAATATATGATACGGAAAATTTACAATTTTGCGCTCAAAGAAAAAGATGTTCGTCTCCAAAATATGTGTCGGGGTGTATGGGCCAAATTGCGATATAGTTACAAGCAATACAAACAGCAAAAGAAGTCCCTGTTATTGAAAACTTTGCATATATCTTCAGGGATTTAGGAAATCTATTATCTGCGTTTTGTAAGCATGTTAACAATATATTATTTTACAAACATATGTTGGTCCTAAAGTTTATTTAATTATCTTTTTGATTAAAAAATAAATTTGAAGTTTACACACATCTTTCAAACAAAAAATAGTAAACAAGTAATGAATTTAAAACAATAGGAAGATAATAAATTTTAAAAACAACTTATTGAGCAAAAATTTTTAATTATATCGGCAAGTTTTTATTAAATTTTACATATCTATCTATATCATCTCTCTTTCTATTGCTTTGTTATGTAGTGTACATGTGCAAATTTTAAAATTAACATACACAGAAATACGAGCGCTTCTATACTATATCATACAATACTGCATTTAAATGATAAAAAAATTTGTTAAATCGCAGGTATGTAATACTACGGGAAATTGTTTGTATAATCTATTTATTTTTGTTTGCAAGAGATATAGTTTTTCGCGCGTGTTAAAAACGAAGTACTGAAACAACCATCATTTAGTTATTCATAATGGTAAATTATGTTAAAAACATTATTATCTACAAATAAAGTATGCGATACAACATAATACTTTTCCGTTTTTATTGGAAACTACGATTTTTTACGCACGCGTTAAAAACGATATTTATTTCGTGATTTCAAATATGGTAACTCATATATTCAGTCTTGATGATTTAATTAAACGTTGCCCTCGTATACTGTAATAAACAAAACGGACTTAATACAATATGAAATTACAATTTATATCGTAATTACAAAGCCTTACAAAGACTTAATACAATATGAAATTACAATTCATATCGTAATGACAAAGCCATTTATCAATACTGCTGCATTCTCTTGTATAAGGTATAAAATATTTGTACAATCACTGCCCCCGGAATTTTTATTAAATACTTTGTTTTCTGTTATGGTTGAAATCTTTCATTTGTAAAATAAAACGGCTTGCCATTGCATTTAGTTAAATCACTTTAACATCAATGAGCGAGCGTGCCCATAGGATCCCAGGCGGGTAAAACGATGGGCTCCTGATTGAATACAGCCATCACGTCTGCAGGTACGTACTTTTTATCTACGACCGCCTCAAAAACAAAATTAGCAAACCAATCGGTTGTCACAACCTGGTAACCCTTTTGTCCGTGATCTTCGCCCCATGAATTCTCTATTCGGAACTTCTTTATTTTACCCTCTCGCTAAAATAAAATAATACTCATATATTAGAAATTAGATAAATCATTGCATTAAGAGCAAAAAGAGCAGCTTTGTAACTATTATAAGTCTTTTTTTAATGTGATTTATATACTTAGAGAGATTCAATAAGAAACTAATTGCAAGATCAATCATATTAAAGAATTTTATAATAGTTGCAAAGATGTTTTTCCTACTGAATACTACTATTAATAAATAGTGAATTTTGTATATTTGATGTAGAAAAAATATCCGAAAGTACTTACATCTATTGAAACAGCTGTAAATGCCATTGCGTGTACCATCATAGAATCTCCATAGAGCAATCTGTCGGCCTTAGAAAGCCCGAGGTGAATGTCGGTGCCGAACATTAGTTCGAAGTTGTAAGTGTTTATATCATGAATACCATGTTTATCTATTAATCTTTTGTTAACATCACAACCGAACCAAACAGGTTCATTATCTTTGATACTCTCGGCACATAATTTCATCAATAATTCCACTGGCTGATTATTGTAGCGAGTAGTTTTCCCACTCACGACATTTCCTAGGCAATCTACGGTATAGAGCTTCCCATAAGGATTACCCGGTCGTGGATCGGTTACCAGGCATACTTTATCGTTCACATTGTAATACGGTTTCACACAATTCTCGTAAAACTCTAGTGGAGTGATTGGGCCCACGCAGTTGTAATTCTTTGACTTGTCATAATATTCCCATGTAATTTTCTCAGAAGGTACACCCAAACAGATGCCGATTATCCGATATATCACAGTCATCTGTTCGTTTATTCGTGTCTTCAGCTCGTCATCAGACGCACCATTGTCGATCATGTCTCGCAAAGCCTTGGCATATTCTCTCAGCTTGCTCTTTAGCAAACTATTCATGCGAACGCTGGACTCGCAACTGTACGATTCTGGGAAACATGTTTTCGGCACGACACCGTGTCTGGTTATCAGATTCACAATCATGTCCCATTGGCCACCATCGCAGGTAGGATCGGTTAACAGGAAGTTGACTAAACGGCCCTCGACCGGTTCGCTACGTTTCGCAGTATTTACGATATTATGCAGGAAGTAATTGCAACGTTCTACCTGTAAAAGATATAGCTGGCTGTAATGTAATAACAAGCTGAATAGTATACGTAACAATGATACATATACATAAATCAAGCATTCCTAAGCTTTTGCTCTAATAGAGAGTGAAGTTGAGTTTAAATAACCATTGGAATTATGTACTCTTTTTTTATTTTATCATAAAGTGTGTTCTTTTCAGTTAATGTCTTGTCTCGTTTGTCTGTTTTCTTTTTCTCTCCAATTAAGATTATATAGAAAAAGAAGTAACCGATTCTCTCAATAGCTTTTTAAACTGTCAACTTTTGATTTTATAACAAACCTTATCCCAGAAAAATAGGTAAGCTTGGCTAAACTCAAACTCGTCTAGATTATGCTGCTTCATGAAGCTAGTTCTCATGACGTTTAGGATGGCAAACAACCAGCATCTTCCAGAATTCTTCTGATTAGTTACAGGCTTGCCCTCAGTCTCAATCTTATGGGTGAAGACATGGTGAGTCTCCTCCAAGATCTTTCTTGAGGCGCACGCCTCGATAGGATTCGTTTTTGTGCAAACATTTTGCGCCAACACATTGCGGCTATCGGCATAAAACTTTGCACGTAGCTGATCGAGAACCTCGGGAGTTAACGGACCTGCAGAAAAAAAGAAGAGAAACGTTAAATTTAGTAAAAATTCTACATACTTAAAAATTCTATTTACTTCAATCTCTATATTGTTAGGATTGTTAGCCGCGTAATGCAGAGAAAGAAACGCGCTATCAATGTCGTCGCATCAGTAAACATTCTATTTGAAACAAAGAGATGCCAACATTCACGAAGTACAGAAAAGGCGTTCGCCTATGGCGATTTTGAAATTATTAATAACACCTGAGGGTGTGGCATGCCGCGAGAGAAAAATATCGGGAATATTTGGAAAGGTTAAGGCTGGTCAATTACATCCTTGCGTTTATCGATTCATCGCGTCTAATCCCAGACCCAGGCCCTTTTACGCGGGCCAGATGCTTTTCCTCGCGCCGCAAACATTTCCATCGCAGCGATGGTATTTTCCTAATCTACGTAGTGTGTACATGTATAACTTACAAACAACCATCGTAACGGATACGGCAAGCAAATCCAAGCGACGCTAAGAACAACCAAGTCGATGATAGCGTTGTGGCTCCAACGCCTCCAACTGTGTTCGTTCGGGCTGCGTTTGTGGAAACGGCGCACCTCGCTTTTATCCCGTGATCGATAGACAAAGCAAGATCTATGTCGCTCTATCTCGCTCGCTCCCTCTTCTTTGTGCTCCGCATCTGTCCGTATCGGGTGGCCAAACACGCAATCCATGTGATTTTTCATTCCGGGGGATCTTTTCGAGTGATTATGTAAGACTCTTCTATATAGTTTCCTCAGGCGCATCCGTGGGATGAATAAATATTGTTGAAGTTTCAAAAAAATTATATAAAATATAAACACAGGTCGTAAGAAATGTCTTTCCCGCACTTTTATAACTTTTACGTTTTTAAAAAAATTTTTTTATTTAATGTTTCAATTTTGAAGTTTTTTCAAGCAAAATTGGTTTAATAGAAATAACATTGTAAACCCAACGTTGATTGAGTATTCTTTCTGTATTTACATATTTAATATATTTAAAGAGTTAATTTTTTTACACTTACATATATTATTAAATTTTATTAAAATTAGATTGTGTTACAAAATGAATTATGGACGCTAGATACTCTCTTAGGAGAATGTACAGGTTTTTTTTAAGAGAAAGTATGTACATTATAATTTTATTGAAACTATCTGCGAAATAAGTTTCCAAGATTATCACAAGATTCACACCTAAATCAATCATTGATTGTACTTCAAGCTATATTATCATCATCTAATAATTGTTATATATTTATCTAACTAATCATCGCTTATAATTATTAATTCATCTTCCTTAGGGATCAAATTTCTACGTTGGGAGTGGATGGCTCTGCTTTCGACTCTAAAGAAAATGGTGGAATTCTGCAATCGAACGCATATCCGTCTTCTCTTTCCATCCTAAATGTTCCCCTGAAAATAAAATCGATGAGAACAATTAACTAAATAACACCTCTTTTCATTTACAAGAAATTAAGGCTGCTTTTGTGCTTTTAGAAGATACAATCAACAAAAGTATCGTTCTATTTTTGTTATTCGTTAAATGTCAAGGATAGAATATTTATATTGACTATATCTTTCAAAGTAAAGCAGCCTAAATAATTGTGCTTACCACATATGACCACTAGGAGCTTGCAAGCTCACGTGACTGCTGTATTGAAAAGCGGGTAAAGCTTTTGATAACACAGGTTCCTGACCCACCACTCCTCTTCCTCTGACAGTTTCCAATGTACCTGACAAGCTGAATATTCTCCAGTGCCTTTCACGCAATTGCACACTTAACTCACCCAAGTTTTCTAGTCGAATGCAGTAACGCCACTGTAAAACAGAAGATATGAAGAATTAACATTTAATTTAAATCCAGTCCTTTTTCTAATAGAATAAAACATCTGACTTTGTTACATTAACTCACCCAATATACAGAAGTAGTTTGACTCTCCCTGCAACCCATGTAGAATGGTATAACGGTAATACGAATATTCTCGGTCGTTTCCTTATGTACATCTGACAATTCAAGCCATGGATGATTCTTTTTCTGCCACGTGCGGAGAGTCTCCTGAGCTACAAAACACGGCTCCTTATCTGGATGATAAGTTAGAAATTTATCGAACAATTCGTGCTGCAGCGCCGCTTTCTCGTTCGTGCTATACGGTAGTACATCCTCATGAGCGACATAATCTAATCCAGGAATTGCGTATAAGCTACGACTGCTCTCATGATTACCCAAGAAAGTAACTGCCTCTGTTTGAGCACGCTGCAAATATATATATCTACATATATATATGTATGTTATACATATGTCAATTACTTTAATAAAATTAATAAAGTAGACCTATTCTTTATCACTGTACTAGTAGAATACAACACTGCACTAACACTTTCTTTCTCATTTTTGTCAAATTTTTTAAATATATATCTATTTTACAAGTATATATTCGTTCAGTTACTGAAAACAGATGTCTGTTTTTTTTATAACTAAACTAGTATACACTTTTGGAATTTACAATGAAATAGGTATACAATTGATATGTGACAAAAGCGAGAAAAAAGTGCAATATAAAAAGTAGTGCAGGAATAAAAAATAGATTTATAATTTCTAGATGTTGCTTACTATATAAGGACAATCACGTTGATCAATCAAAACTTGATAAAATGTATGTGTTCTGCCTTTTACTTCTTTCTCGCCAACACTGTTGAAATTGTTGTTATCCTTTCTGTAATTAAATGCACAAATTATTTGTGCAAAATATCTATATATTAAATAAACAGATATATTTATCCATATAACTATAAATAACTACACTTACTCATCCTTCTTATTAGATATATCTCTGTCGTATACTCTTGCCAACCATGGAAATAGAATGACACCTCGATACCCAAAGACTCTGTGTAAAATCAATTGACCTGTATCATATTTTCCCTGTAACTTTGGTGTTTCCAGTTTGCCAACTTCCGCTAATCTACAAAAAGACATTTATTGCAAATATTATTATATAATTAAATATTGCGATGGTCTTAAATGTCTAAAACTCATGCAATTTTTTATTATGATCTTTATTTGATAGAGATGTACGATAAGTGTATCAACACTGTAAATGTTGAAGTAAAAATACACGTATTGTATTTTCCTACTATTTAATCAATATTAATTTTCAACCGAAAAAAATAAGAGATATCACAATACAAGTTAAAGAACTGACATCAGGAACAAGAATAAAGAGACAGCAATCTTACAATATGCCATAGGATATAATTTAGATATTGTCAATGATTGTGAACATACATAATGATAGTTAATAGTAAACTATGACCAAGAGGCTTTCTATACAATACAATTATACAATACAATAAGCAATTATTATTTAAACTCTTAAGCCATAAGAAATTGATTAATCATAATCAATTATTCTTTTCATATTTGACTGCGATTGGTCAATTGCTTAAGGCCTAAAACTCAAAATTTAGATAATGGCTTATTGTAGAAAGCCTCTAATAATATAAAAAATCATAATGTTATATACATAAATAATTAATAATTGTTATTATAAATCCTATTAAGACAATGTTTCATTGCAATTTATTTTCAAATCTAAGAATTGATTCAACTGAGGAATAACTATGCATCTATTTTTTATATTTTATGCTGTTTTTCCAAACAAAATTATCTTTAATGTCCTCAATAAATTAATAAACAACCTTCTTGTTTAAGCTTATCAAAAAACAAAAACCTTCACATAACTACAGTGAAATAGATTACATTCAATGATATAAATTTGATACTGAATTTAGTCACTCATTTATACTAGATTAGTGCATAAAAGCTATTGCACAAATTGGAGTTAAATATAAAAACATATGAATATTTTATAAATAATTACATGTCTAAAAATAATATTGTCATATTATTTAATAGAGTATACATTTATTATTTCCTTGTCAAAGTTGATTATGGATGCTTTCCATTTGGTGACCTAAATGTGATTCTATCTTTGTTATTCTCTAAATGGTAAAAAATTAAACTGAATGGAAAACACTCTATATTATACCATTACATTTAGATACTCTATATAAAACAGCCTTAATGTATACTAATCTAGGATGCCTTCTATTTAGTGATATAAGTTGTCACAAATGTCATTCAATCTTTCTCTGTATTTCATGAGTAACAAAAATAAAATGATACTTTTTTGTTGACTTGTATGACGATACCTCTAATTTAGTGCAAGAACTGAATTCATCATAAATTCAATCTTATTTGCTGCATTATCCATTGAAGCAAGTTTGTTTTATACATTCTTGTTCATATTCCTTAATAGGTTCAATTCCAGTTTAACAAATATAATGGAAACTATATATTCCAATTTAAATTATTTTAATAAATTAATAATAGCAAATTTAATTAAATATACATTAGTGCATATTGGGATATAGTATCAAATAAATTAGTTTTATTAACAGCACAATAAAATGTATTGAGAATTTCATTCATTTCTTTAAATCATTTATTCATATCAAACACACATCCTTACATCAATTTGTGTATGACTTTAATATGAATCAGTACGCACTAAATGCGTCCAATCGAATTCGATTGTAATCGTCGAAATAAATTGATATTCTTTCCCCCTCTTTCTCTTTTCTAAGTTAATTCTACATGTAAACAGGGCAAGGAAAACTGATTTGAACAATCGATGTCATAGTGAAATCTCCATTCAAAAATAAAGTTCTCTTTTTGTCAATAATTAATCGTAATATAGGATAATTCGAATCGCTAAATGACCTATAATTCGTTGACTTTGTAGGTACCTGATGCATCGCACGTGTTGCAGATGTGTTACGGGTGCCTTGAGAAACGATCGTTTCAGGTTACTGCCAACGAGATTCCGCACGAATTCCATGATTGCCTAAGAATTATCACCAACACCTGATGAGAGTTACGTCGCAGGATGAAAAACTGCGGTCGACGGTCGCTGCATTGACATCTCCACTAATTTTTAGGGATCATCTCAGAATATATACCGGAGGTTATACCTTATACTGTTTATATCGCCGTCGAGACGATGGCAGAGGGAAGGAGGGGAAAGTAATGAAAAAATTTGGAAAAAATTGGATATATGAAGGAAAAAAGAGGTTGCATCGAAATACATTGTTTGCATACTATACATTTTGTACTTAAATTTAAATTTAAATCAAAATCTTATTAAATAATTGTACTAAATTAATTTAGGTCTGTTCGAGTTGCATGCATTTTTTTGCACGCAGAATCCTCGTTTTCTCTCTCTCTTCAATACCCAACGTATTTATTTCGCTCTAAGTGCAACATTCTTTTAGAAATTTCAAGCAATACGAACAAATTTTTTAATATTCATTAAATAAAAAAATTCATATCCATTATATCCAATAGGTAGGTGACACAAGCATTATTGAACGTGTTCAAACTGGACAAAACTGCTAACCTGCTTGTTGAGCGATTGATGCTCGTTTCCACCAATGTAGATTAACTTTAATCTCGGTTTAATTTGCTCTTCGTCTTTTTCTAGTTCTAAAAATTAGAAAAAGATGAACAATAAGAGCTATTTTTATCAATTCCGATTAACTTAATCGGCCGATTACTAATTAATCAATCGCGTCTGTCGTCAAAACTAAATGTAAATAGGGCTGCGCAGAATAAAAAGAACAGGAAACAGAGAACAGAGAATAAGAATTTCAATCTATCAAAAATCATGTACTATGGAATACACACTGTTTGTTCTACAGTATATGATTTCTGATAGGTTGAAATTCTTATTCTCTGTTCCCTGTTTCTTTTATTCTGCCTTAGGCGAGAAACACACTTTTGCATGTGCTTTTTGTTTTCTGTTTTTTGCCGTTTGTCTCTGTTTTGGGGTGTGTTCCAGAAAACCTATAGTGCTCGTAACGTAAACTATAGATTTTCAGTACTGGCAGTCAATTTTGGAACACAGCCTTGGTAATTCTACAATGTGCTTCCTGTTTCTTGTTGTTTGTCTCTTGCCTTCTTGATCAAAAAGACAAGTAACAAACAGAGACATATACATACAGCAAGAAACAGGAAACAAAAGCACATTGTAGAATTGGTCTTTGCCTCTTGCCTTTTTGATCAAGAAGGCAAGAGACAAACAATAAATAGGAAACAAAAAGCACATTGTAGAATTAGCTTTAATCCTGCAAAGTTACTGGAATAGTTAAGTTAACCGGAGTTAAGTGAAAGTTCCCTTAAGTTAAACCGAATTAAATATTTTTATTTTAAACTAAAATTAATCTACACATTGGCGAAAACGAGCATGAATGTGATTGGTTGAATCTATAAGCAAAAAAAGTCTTTTAGGTAAGTTCCGCCGCTTTATAGGAAAGCATCCATTATATAAATGTCGGCCCTAATTTTCGAGATAGATCGCACGCAAGCGTTGGTAACTTCGCGCCGCGCGACATGGCACGTCCACCAATGAGATCACCGGACGAGGTGAATCGGTGATGTAGCGCCGCATCGCGCCGTCGTAGTCGGCAAACTTCAAGCGATCGAATTGCGTTGTCGCGTCCCTCGGCACGCTTAACCGTGTACCAGAACGAAGTTTCGCCACCGTTCTCTACCGCCGACGCTCAGGTCGTGCTGACCATGCCAAGTGTCTACAGAAAATTGCGCGAATCACGTCGCGGGTGGCACACACGCATTTAAGAACCAGGCGGTCGGTACCACGGCTTGCAAAAGCCTGTGTGAGCTCTGCAAGCACATCTCTGTGAAAGGCGATCCACCGCGCGGCGGCGGCTCGTCGTCGGATATATTTGCTTTATTGATATTTTGAGTGTCAGGCCCTACGGCGCCTATGCATATCTCCAGGTAACGTTTGATATTATATCTCACTCCCCTTTTCCGCCACGGGGTTCCCGGTTCTGTTAGTAATTCATCAGTTCCCGTTTTCGCGAGAATCTTGTTTACGTTGTGGCTTGTATGCGTGCACCGCGATCGTACATAACCTCTGAACCGATGGGCGCCAACGGTTGTCCGTTTCTCCGATGATGATTATACGCGGTCATTTGTCGATACATTGTCGAGTAATTTGGTACTTTATCTGACTTATATTTCACCCATCCATTTATGCACCAAAGATGGACTTCCGTCCTGGAGGTCTTCGAAATATGTTACTGAATATAAAGAGATTTCTACAGTTTTCATGAATTATCTTAATCTAAAAGGGTACCTCTACATAATTTAAAAATTGCAAAACGACTTCACAAATGCTGACGCAGAATAACGGTCACCATATACAAAATATACGCAGATGAAAAATATCTGCACATAATGAAAAAACAAATGCAGATCTCCATTCTGTCTGCGTTTGCAATTTGTGAATTACGTAGAAACACCTTTACGTTTGCATCAAGTTCGAGATATAATAGTTGCGTTCAGCAGAAAATACCGCTTTGCAACTGTTGTAAAATTTTTGAATACGGTTGGTTTTTGTTTTTGTTTCCTTATGGATCTAAATGTATAAACCAATCATACTGAAGAATTTTACAACAGTTGCAAAGCTGTTTTCTCTGCTGAACACAGCCAATACGAGGTAATAACAGTAGAAGAACAATGATAGGAATAATGTAGAAATAAGAAATACATAATTGTTGCCTCCCGTTGTACAATATACCATGATAGAAATAAAAAAGTCAACTAATCTGATTATATAGACTGCAGTATACTTTTCCACTTTTACTTCAAGATTATAGTGTATATAAATAAAATGGAAAATCTGAATGATGACTGATAAGTTATAAAGTAATAGCACAAAATTCCAACTTGTTAAAAGTTTATCGCTATTCTGTTGTGTTATCTGCATTGACATATGCATTCCCAAATGTTGGATTCCTGTTTCTATTGCTATCATTATCGTTATTTCTTTTGCTATCGCTATTGTTGAATATTGTGTTTAGGGTTTCAGTTGTTTTCCATTTACAATAAAGATACTTACACGGTACTTTTTATTTTAACAAGCAAGATTCAATCAAGTTGAATCTTTTTATCTATAATCTACAAGCTTAAGACTGTATTTTACTGACAATGAGTTATGTTAACTGATATTAAAAGTTAGATTATAACTTGTATTTGTACGTGATAACTTTCTCACTAAAGTGTCTGAGCAGTAACATCATTATCTAAATATAAAATATATAACTTTAAATTTGATATCACTTATGTGAAATTCGAAAATGACAATTATCACATTGATGCTTTTGTTTTAAAATATATCAGATGTGAATTATATATCTTTTTCTAAAGTATCAAAAATAATAGTTAAATATACTTTTAATATTAACATTAAATCAATATCAAATCTTATTTGAACCGTGAGAGTTTCAAACTAATTAGTTTAACATTAAATTTTATATTACAATGGATTTTTTAAAAATAAATTATATAAGAGTTGTAAATATGTTGTATAATTTAGTCTAAATTGATTTACAGAAAGTGTATAGTTCAAGATATCCAACAATGATATATTTCGTAGTTTCATAGAAATTTACATAAATTTTTAAAGCTTTTAAAAGCTTATTTCATTCTTAATGTTATCCATTTGTTACATTTTCTTAAAGCAAGATTATACTATCAAAAAATTTTTATTTAAAAATAATACAGGAGACAATTCAAACATTTTCAGATTGTTTTCTTCATAAAGTTTACATTACTAATATTATATATATATATATACTATGTTTGATAATATAATCTTGCTTTAAGAAAATGTAACAAATGGATAACATTAAGAATGAAATAAGCTTTTAAAAGCTTTAAAAATGTATGTAAATTTCTATGAAACTACGAAATATATCATTGTTGGATATCTTGAACTATACACTTTCTGTAAATCAATTTAGACCAAATTATACAACATATTTACAACTCTTATATAATTTATTTTAAAAAAATGCATTGTAATATAAAATTTAATGTTAAACTAATTAGTTTGAAACTCTCACGGTTTAAATAAGATTTGATATTGATTTAATGTTAATATTAAATTTGTAAACTAAGTTATATCTTACAGAACTTTACATAGATAAATGTTATTGCATTACAGAATTTGGACCGTGTTCTAGAATACATTAAAGACAAAGTGCTTGATTACATTTGATCGATTCACTAAATAGCTACTATGTCTGAAATAATATACCCGCAAGGGTGCAGATCAGTCACCGAAGATTTAGGTCCAGATGAATTAATCAGGAGACTCAAGGTACAATTAAATAGCATATTGCTTTTTGTAATAAATAATACATTATATACAAAATATAATAGTAGTTAAGGTTGTTGTTAACTCGGTGCTCTCAATGCTTTTGAAATCATTTTATTCTTGTTAAACAAAGATAAATGTTGAACAAGGAAAAATGATGCTCGCGAGTATTGCAAGCGAAAATGGAACGTATTCTAAAATATAAAAAAAATATATAGACACTAGCACACACATTGCAAGCTATGGGACAAGATGAAGGAATGTACCAGCAATACATACCACTAGCATTACATTTGGCGGAAGACCATTTCCTGATGCATCAGAGCAAAGATGTGCAACTACTAATTGCTTGTTGCATTGCAGATGTCTTAAGAGTTTATGCACCAGAAGCTCCTTATAAAGATTCTGAGCAGGTAAATATTTGAGTTATAATTATAACAATTTATCAAACACTTAATAATCTTCATTAATATAGATTGAATTAATAAAGCTCCTCAATTGAACCAAGCAGCTTTTAATTACTATTTTTAATATGACTTTTTAGGTCAAAACGATATTTCTGTTCCTTATTAAGCAACTGGCAGGCTTAAAAGATCCTAAAGATCCAGCTTTTAAGCGGTACTTTTATCTGCTTGAAAATTTAGCTTACGTCAAGTCATTTAATATGTGTTTTGAGCTTGAAGATTGCCAAGAAATTTTCTGCGCATTGTTTTCCCTTATGTTCAAAATTGTGAAGTGAGTATAAGATCTTAAAAAAAAAAGAAAAAGATTGTTAAAATTTTTGGAATATGATGTAATTAATGTAATTTTTAGTGATGAACATTCTGGTAAAGTTAAAAGCTTCATGCTGGACGTTTTATGTCCACTTATTACCGAATCAGACATTGTCAGTAACGACCTTCTGGATATTATACTTATGAATGTTGTGGAACCAAACAAATCACAGAAAAAAAATGCATATACGCTTGCTAAAGAGCTAGTAATCAAATGTAGCGATACATTAGAACCATACATTCAAACAGTAAGTAATGAATGTTAATAATTTCTATTAAAAAATAAATGTATCGATTTCCACTTTATATAACACACTAAAACTACAACGTTTTACAGTTTTTTAATCAAGTTTTGATATTGGGAAGAGAGGAGAAGAGTTTGCAAATTTGCAAAAAGGTATACGATTTAATTTATGAATTGAATCACATTTGTCCGAGTGTCTTGCTGTCCGTCCTGCCGCAACTAGAGTGTAAATTAAAATCTTCCTCTGAGAATGAAAGATTGGGCGCTGTGGCGTTGCTAGCAAGAATGTTTTCTGAAAAGGGCTCACAATTAGCTGTACAGCATACACAGTTATGGAGAGCGTTTTTGGGACGATTTAACGATATTAGCGTGTCCATTCGTATTAAGTGTGTGCAGTATTCAATGCATTTTTTGCTAAATCATCCTGAATTGAGAAAGGATATCACAGACACTTTAAAACTGAGACAACACGATGCTGATGAAAGTGTCCGCTATGAAGTCGTTATGGCTATCGTGACGACTGCCAGACGAGACTTTGAAGTTGTGTCAGACAGTGAAGATTTACTCGAATTTGTCAAAGAAAGGACTTTGGATAAAAAGGTAGAATATTAAAGTTAACGTGATTTAAGTTTGAATTTAGTGCTCATAGATTTACAGCTTGAATTCTCTAATAATTATCTTTTCAGTTTAAAATACGAAGAGAGGCGATGTCTGGTTTAGCTATGATATACAAAAAACATTTGAATGATGCTGATGTACCACAGGCCACAAAGAAGGCGGTTATTTGGATAAAAGATAAAATCTTGCATGGTTATTACATGGCAGGCATGGAAGATAGATTATTGGTGGAAAGATTGCTAAATACGTGCCTAGTACCTTACCAATTACCAGCTGAAGAGAGAATGAAAAAATTGTACCATCTCTTAGGTACAATTGACGATCATGCTTCTAAAGCTTTTGTGGAACTTCAGAAACATCAACTTGCGTACGTTATACATTAATTTTATATATGTGTGTGTGCGCGCACGTGTGTGTGTGTGTGTGTGTGTGTGCGTGTGTGCGTGTGTGTGTGTGTGTGTG